GGGAGGGTAGAGGGAGGGGGAGGCACGGAGAGGGGCAGCCACACCAGGCGGCTCTGCGCTCTCTCCTCCTGCAAGTCGCCCCCCTAACCCCGCTGCTCCCCCATCATTCATTCCAGGCCCGTGCCAGGCGCTGGGGCGCAGGGGTCACCCGCAGAGATGCCGCTGGCCCAACCTCGGGAGCTGGGGGTCCTGGGACCCAGGCGGCGCGAAGCCAATAAAGATCCGAATGCGAAGGGCAGGTACCCGGGCGCCTTGGAGGGCAAAGCGCGGGGAAGCCTCCTCCCCGGGAGGAGCAGCCGGAAGCCAGGGGCGCGGAGCGGCGAGGCCGGGCCTCGGTTTCCTCACCTGTCACACGCTCACTCTCGCCTCCTTCTCCTGCCGGGGCGTCTCACCGGCGTTCCGGGTCCGGGACAAAGCGGGGGGAGCTGGAGAGGTTTTCCCAACTGCAGCCTCCCTCCCTCCGGGCGGATCCTTCCGCACCCACACCTGCGGGCACTGCGATCCCACCCAATCCGCACCCACACCTGTCGGCACTGCGATCCCACCCCATCCGCACCCACACCTGCGGGCACTGCGATCCCACACCATCCGCACCCACACCTGCCGGCACTGCGATCCCACCCAATCCGCACCCACACCTGTCGGCACTGCGATCCCACCCCATCCGCACCCACACCTGCGGGCACCGCGATCCCACCCCATCCGCACCCACACCTGCCGGCACTGCGATCCCATCCCATCCGCACCCACACCTGCCGGCACTGCGATCCCACACACCACAGCCCAGGAGGATCCGGCTCCTCCCCCACAAACCCGCCAGCGGGTTCCCATTGTGGTTAAGACCCGAACTACGGGGCCCTGAGGACTCTCCCCAGCTCGACTCTCCAGCGCCCTCACCCTCCCTCTCCGCTCACACCCACCCACTTCCGGCCTGCGAGCTGCTGCCTCAGGGCCTTTGCACAGCCAGGCCCCGTTCCTAAAGGGCTCTTTTCCGGATTCCTTCCAATCCTTCAGGACGCAGCGTGAAGGGCACTGCTCAGAGGACGCATCTAGAAACACTCAACATCTGAGTGGTACCCCCCTGCCCCCCCAAACACCTCCTCTCATCACGTCACCTCGCTTTTCCTTCTCCCCTGCCACCCAGTGCTCTCTGCAGGCATCTGACCTACTCGCGTACCTGTTCACTGTCCCCCCTCAGGAGGGCAGGGACCGCTCCTGCTTTGTCCGCCACAGTATTTCCAAGGTGGGGACACTGGGGCGCTATCAGATCCAAATAGACCCCCTTCCACTGTTTCTGGGGACCCCCGGCTTCCACGTGCTGTCACATCCCAAACCCAGATCCTGCGGCTCTTCCTTGGGAAGCTGGAAGCCCTGGGACAGCCCTTGGCCAAGAATCGTTGCCTCCGCGTCTGCAACTGGGGGACCCAACCCCACACAAGTCCCAGCATATACACAGAGGGTCTGACACAGGGCGGGGACCGGAACACATTTGTCGGATGGATGAATGAATGAATGAATGAATGAACGAACGATGCATCTACATGGCCCTCTCAGAGCTCGACTCCTCAGTGCCCAGCAAGTGCTCTGCACACAGTAGGTATCTAATCAATGCTTGCTGGGGGCCCTGCACCTGAGGTCTTCTATTAGTCCTCGACCCCACAGGGCAGGCTCACACATTCATCTCCATGGCACCCTCATCGGGGAGCTCAGAGAATCATGCGTCTGCACGCCCATGATTCCGTTCCATGCTGAGCCAAGGCAACTTCACATACGTGGCCCTGGCTTCGATTTTACGCGAGTTGTTCTTGCCCACACGATCCATGGAGAGAGGGTCGAGACCCCTTTGAAAATCTGAAGACTATTCAGTAAACGCTTCCCGGGGCGGGGCGGGGGGGGAATGCCCGGACACACGCGTGAAATGCAATCTCGTAAGGTTACACGTCCCTGGAGCCAGGCTGTGACATCGGGCCACCCCCACCCCCAATTTAAGGAGGTCGCCTGCAGCCCCTCTGAGAGCGCAGGTCCCCGGACAACCTGCGGGGACAGCTCGCCCCCAAGTGGCCGAGCCAGGAATGGCCCGGAAATGAACCTATTTTTGTAGGACCCTGAAGTGGGACCTCGGACCAGGCCCTGTGCCTGCTTTGCCCTGGTTTATGGGACGGAAACCCAGCTGCCCATCACCAGTCGGGAGCCCCCCCTGTGATGTAAGAAACGCACAGAACGGAGAGTCTCTGAGTGTATCTGAGCCAGGCTGGCGGCCACTCCCAGGAGGCAAGCTCACCTGCGAAAGTGAGCGTGCGAGTGGCAGCTTTACAGCCTTTAAAAAAAATCTCTCTCTATATATCTATACAGCGGGGCCTTGACTTACGAGTTTAATTCGTTCCGTGACGGAGCTCGTAACTCAAATTACTCGTATGTCAAATCTTAAAGTGAACGAGTGAGACACGTGATGCTGGGCTGATGTTGTGGCGTTCACTGTGACGTTCGCTGCGCCAACTAGCGGTGGGGTATCTGAAGCTGGCTCGTAACCCGAATTTTAGCTCACAACTCAAAGCAAAAAATCGGCCGAGAGACGGCTCCTATCTCGAAAAACTCGTTAGTCGGGACACTCGTAAGTCAAGGCCCCACTGTATATTGATTTCAGAGAGGAAGGGAGAGGGAGAGATTGAAACATCAGAGATGAGAGAGAGACATGGATCGGCTGCCTCCTGCACACCCCCCACTGCGGATGGAGCCCGCAGCCCGGGCCTGTGCCCTGACCGGGAATCGAACCGTGACCTCCTGCTTCATAGGTGGACGCTCACCCACTGCTGGGCTGTTTAGCAGTTTGTATGCCCAGACCATCCTCTGTGGTTACTTTCAGTCTCTGGGTCTGCAGGGCTCCCCTGAGCGCGTCAGGGTGAGCACCGTTATAGTCCACAATCCTCACCCCAAGGGCCGTGGAAGGAGGTGGGGGCGGGGCAGCTGCCGAGGTCGCAGGCCCCATCCCGGGAGGCTGACCTGGATGCTCAGTGACCAGAATCCCACCTGCGTGTTTGCCCTGGAGAAACGCGTCCGCCCAACCGCGCTTTGGTCCCTGACACGTCCCAGCTCCTGGCACGGCGCCTGGCGTACCGTAGGGAACGGAGGGAGAGGATGCTGGGAGAGTTCGCCAGAGGGGCCGACGGGAGACAACTTCCATCCGTGGGGAGGGGCCCTGGGGTCCTGTGTACCTTGGAGGCCATGCAGCCATTCAAAGGAAAGCGGAGACTAGCCCAGCCGGCGTGGCTCAGTGGTTGAGCATCGACCTATGAACCAGGAGGACACGGTTCGATTCCCGGGTTGTGGGCTCGATCCCCAGTGTGGGGCATGCAGGAGGCAGCCGATCCCTGACTCTCTCTCATCACTGATGTTTCCCTCTCTCTCCCCCTCGCTTCCTCTCTGAAATTGGTAAAAATGTATTTTAAAATAAATAAATGCATACATAAAATGTGAGCTACACGCCACGTGGAAATTTTAAAACAACGGAGAGGCAGGTATGCAGCCCAGCCTGAGGCTCGGCGGCTTCCGGAAAAGAGACATTGACTCAGAGCCCAAAACGTCCCAGAAAGCTGCCCCCGCCCCCCACTCCCACACCCACACTCCTACCCCCACCAGCAAACAGGCCGTCTCAGACTCGTGCTCGCTTTTTTAAAAGGTTTATTACTCCAATAGTGAATTCTTTTAAAAAGATGATAAAACTCACAGGCACCAAAAGATGGGGCCCTCATGGGGGGCAGCTGGGCGGGGCCTCCGCCACCCCAGGGGCCGGCTCAGGAATGCAGCTCCATGTCAGTGTCGCTGGAAGGAAGGGGCTCCCCACCGCCAACACCAGGAGACCAGGGTCCTGTGGGGGTGGGGGGCCGGCTCCGAGGCCTGTGTGAGGGGCTGTGCCCACGGCCCCCCTCCACCCGGCTTTGGCACGAGAAGTCTGCGCCCCGGGCTGGGCTTCGGGACAGTGGCCGCCCTGGGAGGAGGAGCCCTGTCTTGCTGGCTGATGGACAAGGCGCTGGGGCCCAGTGGTCCCGTGGCTGACCGACTCACCCACGGGCCCATGACTGCCTTGGGGAGAAGGTTCCAGAACAGTCCCCGCTGGTGTGCCGCTCCCCGAGTCCCCCCGGTAGCATCCCATCCCTGAGCGTGTCTGACACACCTGTGCACATGGACAGGTGTGGGGGTGTGCAGTGTGTGATCACACGTGTGCAGTCAGACGCTGGGGCCAGCAGGCTGTCCGCTGAGAGCGTCCTGAAGAAGCGGGGTGCTGGGGCTGGGGAGCCTGGCTGGCTGAGCAGCAGGGCTGGGCTGGCTTTTGGTATCTCGGGGAACCTGTGGAGAAAGGGGGAGCTGGGTCGTCAGGCCTCGCCCACATGCCGCCCACGCCCACCCCCAACCCAGCCCCGCCCAACCTCCAGCAATACTGTTATCACAGCCAAACCGAATAACGAAATGCCCGTCACCAGGAGGAAGCCAGCAGCCGGTGACACATACACTCTGACACCCAGACAAGGCGAAACGCGGCAAAATGTTAGCCCTTAGCTTCGGCAACGTTAAGGATCTTAGTGCTGCCGGCCCGTGAGGCTCAGTGGTTGAGCATCAACCTGTGAACCAGGAGGTCAGGGTTCGATTCCCGGTCGGGGCACAGGCCCGGGTTGTGGGCTCCATAACCAGTGCGGGGCGTGCAGGAGGCAGCCGACCCATGATTCTCTCTCATCATGGATGTTTCTGTCTCTCTCTCCCTCTCCCTCTCGGAAATCAATAAAAATATATTTAAAAACATATCCTTCTGGACTCGTGGAGGCCGCATTTCCTGCCTTCTCCCAAGCAAGGCCGCCCCTCGGGCAACCGGTGCAGGGCAAGCTCCCCAGGGCCTGGCTGGGGACACAGCTGTCCACCCCTTCCCCTCCTCCTC